ATGTTCTGAAGTAGATAACTTCGTTAAAGAGAAAAAAATATCTCTGTATCCATTTTTTTCTTTCGGTTCAATATTCAAGGCATGAATTGATACACAGGGGGAGGTAAATAAGTACTGTATGTAATCATGTTCCCTTATCTAATCAGATATAACAGTGGCGGTGAATGCCCTGTTTCTGGCAAAGTGTATTTACTTGTTTACAATTTTTATTCGTTAGCAAATGATGCAAGGCGTTATATAATACCATTACAATGATGTTTTCTTTCAATCTTAGTTCAACCTTTATTAGCTTTAATGGTCAAGCTCCGCCATCAGAACTTTTGGAATCAAGTGCCAATATATTCATCATACTGCCAGTATATCCATCGTAGTGCCAACATACCCACACATCCTGACTGTCATTCGCTCATCTCGATCCATCATTGGTATCAAGGAAGGTGTGCACTGCCGAATTCACCCTTCATGGATGCTTACCACGTCTTCACTTCCTCGCTGGCAGGGTTGATCAGTTACCAAAAGCCACAACTATCGAGGTTGTCCTTCATCCAGACCTCTTCCACCCTGGGTTATCTTTGGAAGGGTTAAGTCACTCTGAGGTAGTTCAGTTAATTATCCTTATAGCCAGAATCCTGGACTACGCGAGTAACAGGTCCTATAGTGCAGACTCATGATTCAAGTACCTATTACAAAAGGCATCGACATGCACTTGACAGAATCAAGATTGTGCTGCTCACCAACAAAACTCAGTAATATCAAGGTCTTCAGAACATACCATGATTCTCCTGTTCTTGCTGTCTTACCAATGCTCAGTTGGGAGATCGCCTCCCTAATCGTAGTCAAGGTAGGTGGGTTCTTGCTAAAGAGGAGTGGGGGGATCAAGCACTGAGACCATGACACCATCCACTTCGACCTCCCCAGTAAGATTCGTGATACCTGTTCCTTTCTTCTGCCACCCCTGAGTTCTATAAAGAACGGATTAAGGTATGTGGCAATCATCCTCAGCCTCAAACGTTTTAGTCTTAGGCGGTCACCAATGAATTCTTGAGCAGTATCAAATGTTTCATATCTGATGGTATTCCAGTGCTACAGGTATGGAGCATGTTATGGACTGATCAGAAATAGCCAGTGCAAGCTTTCAATTGCAGTTCTGTCTGTCAGTGCATCCTGGTGAAAACCCTGGTGGTCACTGGACAGACAGGCGGTTCTGAGGCGTTATCAGCATCACATACCTTGTAACATTGGAAAACCCCACATTTCTGGAAAATCCTCCAAAGATGGCAAACAAATGTGGTCATTCTCCTTGGCTACATCCTCTATATCACTGTACAAAGTCAGGGCACTGGTAACAGAAGCCAGCGATTTTCAACCTCTTAGATATCACAAAGTCCATGAAAAGGAAACTGCTTTCACTCTTTTAAGTTTCTAAGCCAATGGGATAGACAAACGTCTCGTGTTTAGATTTATTACTTCTGGATATCACACTGAAGTATCCAGTACAACTTGGATATTTCAGAGAAGTGAGCTATCTTCTTGAAGAGGAAGCGGTCCTCCTATGGTTTGATGCTTTCTTTTACAATTCATAGGAATGAATTTACCTTTGTGTTTTACTGATGACTTTTCATGGACCAGTCTTTGGTGAACTGTCAGACAATGAATATTAAGCTAACCATTAACAAATCGCGAGGGTAGGGTATATTCCCCCCCCTTTACTTTTATATTTTTCTGTCTAATATTTTGCCCTTCTTTCAGTACTATGGCTATGACTCATACTTTCTTGAATTGGGATATTAACACCAACAAAAACACTTTCAAAATTATATTTTCAACATCTATATACACAACTATTTCCCTATTGAAATATATCTATGTGCAGTTGATAAAAATGATATCACCCCCCA